ACTGTCCGAATAAAATTTTATGCAATTCGGACCACGGCAACCCGTGCCGACTTGCAGTCAAAGTTATCAGAATAAACTTAGTGCAGTTCGCGGGTTTTGTTAATTTACTCATGTTTCTACTTTATAAGACGGTATTACTATACTTCCTACAGTATCAGGACATAATATTGAGTAAGTCTTTTTTGGTTTTTTAACCGGTAATCAGGACATTTTCCAAAGGACCATAAATATAAATATGGATATATGCCTATCAATTGAAAGGAGAATTGGAAACAAGATTAATTATAACTTTTGTTTTCAATTATCCTTTTGGAACATGTCAAAAATGTCCTTTAAAAATATTATCCTTCAAGATTTTTAATTTTGAATGAGTTTGAAGAATCTCAGATTAATTTAAATCCTATTAATATATATAAGGATACTAAAGTAAAGGATTAAAATTTCAAAGAATATTTTAAAATTTTTTTAACAATACATTTATTCCTTAACTCGGGTTGCGAGAGGCCATAAAACTTCTTATATATGCTATTTAGGCTAAAAAGCACAAATATAGAGGGTATGCATTTGAAAATATGCAAACAAATTTATTTGCCTATGCATAAAATATTATTTCATTTTATTTCGCCTCCTCACTTTAGACATTACGAATTACGATTGGCTTAAAAAAATTGTAGCTAACAAAGAGCACGGAAATATGTACATAAGACCTTTTTAGAAGTGCATATGGCACTTACGTTACTTTTCACGTGCCACTGGCCATATGACCATCAGATTCGGTTGTAAATACATATCTTACACTGCGACGAAAGCGCTTCCGATTTCTGGAGAGCCCTCTATTATCTGCGCAGCACTGGTCTAAAGCCTCTACGTCATTATCGTTGCGATCTAGAAGGTTATTTTTATCAAATTCCAATCTTAATCGGAGAAACCGTCTATTCGTCGATATTCGTATCGTTATTAGTTCGAAAAAAGTTTCCAAAACCTAGAGTAATAAAGAAAATTGAATCAGCTAGTAAAATAATGTGGGTTTTCACAAATGTCTGATAATCGGATTATTTTTTTTTTTTGGTAACGACAGTAAAATACACTATTAGGGAGTTCAGAAGGTGTGCTATACTGTCGTATTGTTGTATGTCGTAAACTTTAAACGGCTAAAACTAAATTTAAGGGATTCGCAAGCTACTTTAAAAGTCGTATTATGAAATTTCACACCGTTAAAAAATAGTTGGTTGTGGTTTCAAGTCCTCTAAACATTTATTTAGCCATTAAAGACTTTACGACTTACGACATTACGACACTTACGACACCTTGTGTACCACCTATATATATAATGACAATTTTTAACCAGATAACCTACCAGGTCATGTGAATACGCACAATGTTTTTAAATTAGGTTTATTATACCCTACAAGTGCGCTAAATAATTAAGAAAAAAAAACACTTACATTCGAAATCATGAACACTTCTTTTTCTTCTGTCTTGCCCTAGAGCAATAGTAAATTATTTAATTAAAAAAGAAATGTAGATTGGCTAACCCTGTATTGCGCGCCTGTTTGCAATGTATTCCTAATAATAAAAAAAACACAATTATATATCTGCCCTAACTTATCAGCCAAAAGCCTAGTATGGTGGAGCAATTGTAATTTACTTTGGCTAATATTTTCATGTCTCACTATGGCTTATTACTACGTACTATAAGAATTAATCTTCGACGAATATTTGAAGAGCAAACAATTTAACCATGTTACGTCAAGTGGTCTGTTGTGGTGCGATACGTTTTTTTATTTTGTCGCATTTAGTTAGTGATAGTTGTTTTAATTTGTGCTAGCCATCTTTAGATATATCTTTTATCTTTGTTGTTTTCGTTTTTTTTTCGCTTTTGCTTAATTAATATTGGTTGATACATATACATATATGTACTCACGAGTATTTTCGTAAATATTTATGTCTAATATTAAAATTCCTTACAAGCAACCGTATACGAGTATTGCTGTGAGAATGACATTGCTACGATACGCTTTGATAAGATATGCTTTTTTTTGAACAAAAGTATTTATCTTATCGCAACGCGCACAAGCAAAGTGTAAACAAGTAACAAAACTTACCTGAGAGGCCTGTAGGAAAACTATTTAACCTACTCAAATTCTTAGCGTCTACATATGTACATACCAAATGGAAATGTACATATGTCATTTTTCTGACGCTTCTCCAACAGTCGCAATGTGAGCAAAGCACAGGCGCGCAGTTCGAGTGAGCCGAGGTACTCGGATAGCGGATTTTTTTTACTTTTAAATTTTATTATTTAAAAAGGAAAAATATATATTTTTTTTCATTTCATTTAAATTTTTAGAAACGCATTTTATGTATTTTCTATTGATTTAAATTTTTTCTTTTTTAATTTAATATTCTTTTCATTTTTAGATTTTATTGTTTTCAAAAGAATTAATTTAATTTTTAGAAACTTATTTTATTTTTATTTTATTTTTTTTTTCTTTTAATTTTTATTTTTTATCGTTTTAAAAAAGATTTTTTTATTTAATTGACATTTAAGAAAACTTATTGCTAGAAGACAAACCAAATAGCCTTGCCTGCAGATCTTTTAATTAGAAAGGCTGTGGTGAGTTAAAAGGCAGTTACCTGAATCGCCCTGCTAATCTGACTAATCGAATTTGATTTATCTGAGTTCTGTGACGCATTTATTGGCTCAGAGCCTTTCTGCGGCATAGAAAAAGGGCACTCTCTAGCTTGGCCAAACAAAAAAAGAAGCTCAGAGAAATCACATCGGGAAAATTTCTATCGGGTACTGGATGGCACACTAAACATCCGTTTCGGGGCTACAATAGGTCTTAAGGACGAAGTATTCTATCTTCAACCAAAACTATAATACTGTTCGATTCGAGGGTTCGACCAACATCTAAAAAAGACTTTCTGAAAAAGCACGCCAAATTTTAAAGGAGCAGCTCGGTCAAACACTTTTTAAGTCTTTTTGTTACTCATTTTATCTGTATGGCCGGTCATTTGATAAAAGCTTAATCTTGCCAACGCAGCTTTCCATTGCAGCTCACTCTGAATACGATGTCTGGCTTAGGGTTATTTGTTAAGAATTCGATTAAATATTTTTTGTGCAAGCCCTCAACCAGCAATAGCTTCAGCTTCACTGCTTTATTTTTTTCCTGCAAGGCATTTGCACATTTTTACCACCACAACCGCAGTTGTTTATTTTTGCCTATTTTTGCTGCCATTATCGCTCTGTAGGTGTACGTCAGCATACGTTTTGTGACGCGTACAAAAGTTAAATTGCAAATTTTCATTTTTAACTTGTACTCAGTACCAAAAGTTTCTAGAGCCCTATTGTTGGCTTGTCAGTTTCAGCACAAAAAAAAAGTGTTCGTTCGATACATACTGCAGTGCTGTGTTGGTCAACAAAGGCGGCATCTAACAATTGGCCAACAAGCTTCATACGTACATATCAGCCATTGAAATAAGTGCTACGTGGTATTGGCCAATATTTGTAGTTGTTTGCAAACGGTTTTTAAATTTTCTGAGCGCTTTTTCAAATTTACATATTTATCAATACATGCGCTATACATGTATGCATATGCTTGTAAGTAGGTGTATTTGCATATTTGAAAAGAATTAGAAACTAAAAATATTTACACAATTGCATATTATGCAATGCTACTTCAGGCATTTCTATGTTTCCATGTCGCACTTGTTGTTGTACATATGTATATACTGACATACAAACAAGTATTCGTACTATTGTAACTAAATAATATTTGCTCTATTCTCTTTTCTTCTACTTTGCCCTTACAGATACGAGCTCTCACAAGATTTGTTGGAGAAACAAATTGAACTATTGGAGCGTAAGTACGGTGGCGTGCGAGCACGTAATGCTGCCGTAACGATACAACGCGCCTTTCGCCACTATATGATGGTGAAAAAATTCGCCTCAATTACCGCAATGGCCAAAGCTGAGAAGCGTCTAAGTCGTCGTGTATTAATAGTGTCTGGCGGTGGTGGTGGTGGGACCGAAGATGGTCCTCCCTCCAATTCTTCATTGTCCTCGGCATATGGAAGTGCAACTGAATCTCAGCTGGATATGATACAGCAACAGCAGCAACAACAGCAGCAGCAGCAGCAGACACAAATACAGGGCTCTACTTCACCGTATGCCGTCAACCAACAACAGCCGCGTGTTACCATCTTGGCTGGGCCACCGGGCAGCGTAGGCGTTCCAGCTGTGCCTATTGTCTCGTCAAATGCCATGTCAGCGCGCACACCACCCACGCGTTCGCTATCGATGCGCGAGCGCCGCCAGCAGGATGGCAGCCCTATACCGCGCAGTCAATCAGGTGAGTTGTTCGCTCTCGAATAATAGTTGTGGAACTTTGGAGAAAATTTGAAAACTTTGAGGTTTTTTGTCGAAGTTGGGTTGGCAATAAAATTTTTGTTTTCCTATTTTTAATAACCGTTTTTTGTCGGAACTTCGGCTTCGTAAACCGATTTGCGCGAAGTTGTAATTCAATAAAAAGGGATCTACTTTTGTTGATTGAAATTTTTTATTTCTTTATATTTTTTTATATTTTTTTTATTGATTTTAATTTATTTTTTTTATTATTCATTATTCAGATTACAGTGAATTCTCGATGTAACGAAAAACTTAATATAACCAATTTTTTGCGAGTCCCTTAAGAAAACCTCGTTGTTGAGATATTTTCCATACAAAAATGGTCCATAGATATAAGGAAGAAATTTTGAGCATGAAAACCTTCGGAATATATTGACAGTTAAGGTCACGTTAGCAAAAGCCTGTATATAACGAAGTGTCAACTCAAAAGCTTCTACATAACGAAATCTGAATATGTTGACGGTTAGAGTCCCGTTAAAAAAAAACTAAACTTTATTTATGACGAATTTTTTCAAAAATTTTTTATTTTTCCTTGTATCGAAGTTTTGATATTCTATAAATACATGTAACTAAACTATACGGGTATATGTAACGAAGCATTTGTCGCGCCATTTGAACTTCGTTATATCGAGATTTCACTGTAGTTTCTTACATTTTTAGCCTAAATTCCGATTTTGAGTAATTTGAATTACAAATGAAGAAAAAGCAAATCAGTTTTTTTATTTTGAATTTCTAGCCAGAGTTTCCCCTGTAATTTAATTTGGTTTTATTGTTTTATTTCATTTTATCTTATTGGCCTCGATTTAATTTGTCTCCTCTTTTTTTTTGTTAATATATTTCTTTCCAAACAAACCTTCTGACTTCTCTCTTTTCTCACCTCTTTTAGGTGCCTCTTCGGTTCCCATTGGCGGCGGCGGCAGTGGCTCTTCTGCCTCTTCGACATCTTCCGGCACGCTAGGTTCATCTGGCTCTACGCATCCACATGTAAATTTACTACACGCCACAGAGCCACATTTCTATGGCAGCCAACATCTGGCCACCCATTACTATCATGTGCCACCACACGACGCCAGTTACGGCAGCTCGGCGAACAATTCACATTTGGACGGAAGCTCGTTGAATACCTCGTGGGCGAGTGTTGCCAGCGTAGCCAGTGGCACGTCGCCCCATACCCCCTACTATTCGGCGGCTCAAATTTACATGCGACCAAAAGGCGCCCCTGGCAGCACCTCGGCCGAGCGCAAGAAGGTGCCACCCGAGGTACCGAAACGCACCTCCTCCATAGCAGCACAGCAGCATGCGCAGCATTTGGCCGCTCAGCAACAACACCAACACATGCTAATGATGCGCCAAACCCCGCCGCCACCACCCTCGTTGTTGCGTTCGAATGGGCTTTGTAAGAGCGCCGAGAATGGCAGTCTAACGTCTGTGCAAAGTTCGGGTAGTGATTCGAGCGTTACATCAGCCGATCGAATTGCAGTTAACAGTGATATTGGTTCGGATCGTTCGAATTCGCCGCAAACGTGGAAGCGTAACACGGCGCTGTCGAGCTCACAACAGTTCGTGCACAGCGGTGACTCGTCAGCCCCGACGGTCACATTTAGCCTCGCGCACTCAACCGCTGGCATTGTAACAGGTGGTGTAGGTGGCGCCTCAGGCGTTGTGGGAGTGGTTGGCGCAGCCAATACAGCGGATGATCATGCTGTGTCTTCGCATACGACTGCAGCGCAGTACGAACAACACGATCAACAGCAGGATCATCACTTGAATGCGGCGGCGCCTTTGCAGAACTACAAGGTTTCAGAAACGATACGCAAGCGACAGTATCGCGTCGGTTTGAATTTGTTCAACAAGAAGCCGGAGAAGGGCATCACATATTTGATACGGCGAGGTTTCCTTGAGAACACACCTCAGGGCGTAGCGCGCTTTCTCATCTCGCGCAAGGGCTTATCGCGGCAAATGATTGGGGAGTATTTAGGAAACTTGCAGAATCAATTCAACATGGCGGTGTTGAACTGTTTCGCATTGGAGTTGGACCTATCTGGCATGCAAGTCGATGTAGCGTTGCGCAAATTCCAAGCTTACTTCCGCATGCCAGGCGAGGCGCAGAAAATTGAACGGCTAATGGAGGTGTTCTCACAACGCTTCTGCCAGTGTAACCAGGATATAGTCGGCCGACTGAGGTCCTCCGATACGGTAAGTGGAGAGTATTCAAAATTCAAATTTGTATTTAATATTAACATTCTACGCTTTACAGATCTTCGTGCTGGCCTTTGCCATCATTATGCTAAACACCGACTTGCATACACCCAATTTGAAACCGGAGCGCCGTATGCGCGTGGAGGACTTCATAAAGAATTTACGCGGCATTGATGACTGCCATGATATTGAGAAGGACATGCTCGGTGGCATTTACGAGCGCGTGAAGGCTAACGAATTTAAGCCAGGCAGTGACCATGTCACACAAGTAATGAAAGTGCAGGCCACTATTGTGGGTAAGAAGCCCAACTTGGCGTTGCCACATCGACGCTTGGTCTGCTATTGCCGCCTCTATGAAATTCCCGACGTAAATAAGAAGGAACGCCCTGGCGTACATCAACGTGAAGTTTTCCTCTTCAACGATCTGCTGGTGATTACCAAAATATTCAGCAAGAAAAAGTCCTCCGTGACCTATACTTTCCGCAACAGCTTCCCACTATGCGGCATGGTAGTCACGCTGCTCGATGTGCCCAATTATCCATTTTGTATACAACTCTCACAAAAAGTCGACGGCAAAATACTGATCACTTTTAATGCGCGTAACGAACACGATCGTTGCAAATTCGCCGAAGATCTAAAGGAGTCCATTAGCGAAATGGACGAGATGGAGGCGTTGCGCATCGAAGCCGAGCTAGAGCGGCAGAAATCGGCGCGCAATCGTACAGCCGGGAGTTCTGAGAACCGTGATAGTGGCGTAGCTGACGTAGAAGTGGGAGCATATCAGTCCACACCAGCTGGCGAGCTAGCACCGAATGCAAACGATGCCGCACAGCAGCTGAAACGTAGCGCGCTCAGCAACAGTCTACTCGATATGCATGAGCAATGTGAGTTTCTGCCTCTCCACTTTAAATCACTTAATGAACTAATCAAATTCATTTCCCCTCCTTAGTTGGCAACGAGAAGCCACAACGTCGTGGCAGCGTCGGTTCCCTGGATAGCGGCATGTCTATTTCCTTTCAATCGACCACCACAAGCAGCGCTTCACGCGAGAACGCCGCCGTTATTGCAGCAGCCGCCAATGCAGCAGCAGCCAAAATGCGTTTCAATCTACCAGCTGGCGCCGCCGTGGCAATGGGGGGTAATGTAAGCGCTGCTATCGTTTATCCCAATGCTGTCGGCTCGTATGCTCACGCGGCAGCAGGTTTTGTTAGTCAACCTCACGCAATACTTATGCAGCAACAATTAGCAGCGCAACAGCAGCAACAACAGCATTTGCAGCACATACAACAACAGCAGCAGCAGCAGCAACAAGCACATGCAGTTATGCAGAGCTCAATAACAGGACGCATGCCGGGTAGCGGGCGCGAGCGAAAATCGTCGCGTTCCGATGAAAGTGGGCGTTCTACTGAAGTGTAAAGAAAGAAACAGTATGAGAGGGAGGGAAGCTGTAGAAAATGTATGTACGCGAACTGTAGGGAAGAGCAAAATTTACTGCAATTTAAAGGGAGTATCTTAACACAGCTAGGAAACAGCGCCAGGAATTTTTGAAAACTATTTGCCTTTTTCTTAAAAAATGGTTTTTGAAGGAGAAAACTTCTTTTATTACATTATTTTCTTTGTAAATATTGGATTTTAGCAAATATTTTCAAGTATTTTCTATGGCGAGAAAAGTATATCACTTTTATAAGAGTCTAGTTTGAGCCCTTCTTATTCCGAATGATGCCTTGGATGCATTTAATTTAAGATGTGACAAGCCACTAGCAAATGCGGTCACAAAATCAATAACAAATATTTACTTTTTGGTTGAGAACCTTAAGTTTTTGATAGTTTTAATAAATTTTAGGCGCTTGAAATGATTTTGATTGTAATTAAAAATATGTAAATAAACATAATTGTCAATAAAGTAAACTAATGATTTACAAATTGAATAACTTACACTTTTAATTAACGTATTTTAACCCTTTATTTTTTGCGTTATTTTTATTGAAAGCAATGGCCTTTTCCGGTTTTCCAGTGAAAATGGTGGCAAAACATTAGCACCAAATGAGTAAATGTGAAAACAGAAGTACTTAATGTTACATCCGAAAAATAAATGTCGCTTCTGATTAAAAAATAAAGAAGTGTACTAAATTTGTTGGAGAAAAATCGTTAAAGAACATGCCTCACAAAAGTATTGGCATTACACCCCAAAACCAGTGCCGAGTTTTTCAGTCTCGCAAACTTTACTAAAAATTAAGCGCGAGTTTCCACTAGGCACTGCAATGATAGAAATCACGAAAAAATGTTTGGCATTTCAGGAATATCAAAAGAAAACGTTTAAAATTACTTTTTGAATGCATAACTTCGTAAATTTGTCAAATCATTGGCCAGTAGAAATCCAGCATTAGAACTTGTTAAAGCTACCTTTACACGGGTTGACAAAAACCGACTGAGCCCAAGTAGACTTGCGTTCAAATTCTTTTAGTCGACGCCAAACCAAAGCAACCCTGAAATGTGTGTCGATTTGGCATTTAGAAATTTTCTGTTGTTTTCTTTAATAAATTAATCAAACATAAATTGAAGCGATTAATTAAATTAATTTGATAAACAAATGTATTTGCACCATGCGACTTTTGTCGATTGGTCGACCAATGCTTTGGCTAGTCGATTTTATAGTCAACGGAAATCGACCCGTGTAAAGGCAGCTTAAGAATGGTCTATAGAGCAGTTAAATAAAATAAACTTTTTTAATTTAAAAAATTTTTAAATCTTAAACTAAGCCTTTTATTGTCAACTTATAATTTAAAAAAAAAAATTAATTTTTTGTTTTTATTTTAGCTTTTGAAAACATATCGTCACTAGACACGAATAAAGGCGCGAGCTCAAAAGTTGACCGCGAAAAAAGGCGCATAAAAAAACTTCAGCAAAGAAAGACGAAGAAGGACGCGTAAACTTATTTTCGCGGTCAACTATGTTTGCGGGTGTAATAGTATGTACATTCCGTTAATAGTTTTTTGGGGAATAGTGCTGAAGTGGCAGTCCTTCGCCAAGTATAAATCTATGATTACGCGTGTTTCCTCGCCGTCAACTAGGTTAGGCGTCTTTCTTCGCCGAAGTTTTTCTTAAGCGCCGTTTTTTCGTAAAATTTTTGTTTGCGTCTTTTTTCGCCGTCGAAACACTAGCGCGCCTTTATTCGTGTCTAGTGATGATATGGCCTTATTCATACAAAAATAAAATTTATTTTGGGCCGTTTTCTCAAGTAGCTTTTAAAATTTATCTGTCCTTCAAACATATTTTTGAGAACAAAATTTGGGTTTAAAAGGCAAAGAAATTGTAAAAGCTACTTGAGTAAACGGCCCCTAAAGAGTTTTATAAAGTGACATTTTAGTACAAATTTTCGATTTATATATCATTTAAAGCAGGCATGCACAGCGCTGGCAGAACTCCATAAGCAAGTGCTTGGCTGATTTAAAGTTTTCTTTAATTTCTATGAATTTGAATGTTAATTTTTAGCGAAATTGTTTTTTTTTTTGTAATTGGGCCAGCAGTGGTATTCTGACTATCGCTACGCTTAATTTTCATCACCAAAATTCTCTAAATGAAAAGCAGTAAGGTCTTAAAATATACTGCATGGAAAAGTAATAGCTGCAATGTGTAATCAGCCAATTCTGGCTGTATTAGCGGCATCTAACTAGTTGCTGCGTGTTGTTAGGCACGCCTGCTATACTTTTGGAGATATTTGGCGGTCAAAATTAGCAATAGCAATTGTTGGAATCCGGCTGCTGATAACGGTTTTAAATGTTTTGTATTGTTTTATTTTGTTCTTAAATGCACGCTCTTACAAAATTCAAAGACATCCTAATTAGAGCAATGAAAGTATTTACGGTGTTATTTTAAAAAATTGTTTGCTTTTTCTATAAAATTTCAAATTTTACATTCAGGACGTTTTTCATTAATGGTGACGATATGCATGCATATTTATGTTCACATCATCGCCAATGCAAAAGAAATAAAGCTTTAGTTTACTCGTATTTGCATTCAAGCGCCTAAAATTTAACAAAACTATCACTTTTTTGCTATTGTAGAATGTATTTTTTTTGTGGTCGCCACAGATTAATAATTCCCAATTCGTTGCCAAATCAATTGCATCGATTGGCTAGACACAGTTCGGAAATGTACATCGACGAGACGCATAACCCGCTATAAACACCGATTTGTTGTCTATCGAGGAAACTTGATGAGCAGACCACCACCCTAACGAATTAAATATGAAGCAACCGGGACGGCTGTAAAGTCTCAATGCGTTTATGTTCGAGGTTAACTAGACTACACTGTGGAACTGTTGACGTTCAACCCATTCGCAGTACGAATTATTTCTGGTGTTACCAAAGACACTGTGCTATTGCACCAATGCCTCAACGATAAAGTTTAGCTGCCGGTACTCTGCAGAAGTGAAGTTATCAGGATGAAGAAGAGAAGGAATCGATGTACCATTTCACCAGACAAGGCGACTCAAACACTCTTGGCAGCTATAATGGAAGTGAAACTATTGGAGCTACTCATTTACATCCGGGACAGTAACAGTCGCACGGCGAGTTTTTTCTTTCAGGTCTTCCAACAGCTACATACATATGTGATCTGTTCACAGATCGATATCTGTAGATAAAGCTTTTCTACTAAGCAAGATAACTCCTGTTAACGTTTTACGTTTCAATACGACTATATGTGCTTTACTTATTAGCAGGTAGCGAGATGTTTTCATCTAATAGTCGCTTTATTAGAACCAGACATCTGGTGAAAAGCTGTAGCACCAATTATATATTCCCTTACTCTCTCTCTACTAGTGAAGCATGATGACATTAAATAAGATTATTTGTTTAGATGCCCTCTGGCTGCAAAGTTTTCTTACCACAAGTTCGCTGAGCAAAAGTGGTTTGAAGCTGAGTTAAAGTTATAAACGTGATCCGCTTTAACACCAAAATCTTGAAATTGGAAATTTCGAAAATTATTTCATACCAAAACATATTATCAACTTCATTAAAAGTTGCGAGATTTTCGAGACCTTTTGCAGTTTAATAGAATAACTATAATTTTGTAATTATTTGCCAAAAAAAGACGAAGCATATTTTGACGTATG